CCCAACCCCCGATTGGGCTGTCAATTTCCCGTGCGTAATACAAAATGACTGAAAAACGGCAAACTTCGCAAGGTTATATTATCCACATTTTACAACATTTCGCAACGAAACTTTGGAATATTACTAATTTTGTGATGCTCTTTCGAGCTGTGATGAAAGTTTTGTCTAGATCAAAATTTAGTCTATAATGCAAATGGTCCATTACATACTTAGCCTTGTGATTTTACTTTCTTAACTGTGTTTATCCTAAAACACCCTGTCAATTGACCATTTGCGTAATAGACTAAATTTTGAACTAAACAAGTCTAGACAAATATTTCATCACAGCTTGAAGGAGCATCACAAAATTAGTAATATGCCAAAGTTTCGTTGCAAAATGTTGTAAAATGCGGATAATATAGCCTTGCGAAATTTGCAAGTTTCAGTCATTTTAGATTACAAACGGGAAATTGACAGCCCCAAACCCTTCGAGGCTGTCAATTTCCGGTTTGTAATCTAAAATGACTGAAAATTGCAAATTTCGCAAGGCTATATTTTCCGCATTTTACAACATTTTGCAACGAAACTTTGGAATATTACTAATTTTGTGATGCTCTTTCAAGCTGTAATGAAATTTTTGTTGAGATCAAAATTTAGTTTATTACGCAAATGGTCAATTGATATGAGCGTTGATATCGATTCTTTTCACATGAGTGGGCAACGAGAGAATCGAACCCACAATCTCATAGGCGAGAGACGACTACACCACCGAAGGGGTTAGGATAAAACGCGGATACGGACGGGCGGATGCCTTATGTTCTCGTTAGGCATAATTTTTCATGCCTTTATTAGTCATGTCCGAGTTTTATCTAAAAGAAGGATATGGTTAAAAAAAACTTTGCCTTTATAACTTATAACCTTTTGGATAAAACGCGGATACAGTCGTCCATCCGTCTGCCATCCGTCCGTCCGTATTCGCGTTTTATCCCAACCCACCACCGAAGCCCCATGTTCGATAAATGTTTCAATGTGAAGCCCTAATTTTTCAACATTGACAAGTTTTGTTTTATCTCTGTCAACAGATCTCAATGTGTCACGAAGCCCTGCGTGAAGTCACAAATCCAGGTGCAAGTGGATCACTGTTTTACTGCAGTATGGATGATCAGTTCATTATTAAAACTGTACAACATAAAGAAGCTGAATTCTTGCAGAAACTACTGCCCGGATATTATTTGGTATATTTGCTAAAGTTCTACCTGATATTTGATGACCAATAGTGGCAATAACACATTTCTAATTGTTAATCTTCATCTACAATACTTTTTATAGAATTTGAATCAGAACAAAAGAACACTTTTGCCCAAGTTTTTTGGTCTTTATTGTTATCAGGTAAGATCTGCACTATTTTCAGGGAGGTAGCGAAGACTTTGTCATGTGTGTGTGTGGGGGATGATGTAAGGTTCCAAATTACCCGATGTTTTTAATTACGTTTCACGTTACCTACCTAAAGGCAGTTTTTAAAATTTAGTGTGTTTTTTTCATGAGTGTATTCAAGTAGCAGGTGTCTAAAATAATATATTATTTTAGCACGATGGGATACGGGGCTAAATCTACTAGTTCAGTGTTAGGGGGTTGAATGCTCTCGGAAAGGCCGGAAATGCAACTAAAATATGACAGTCGATTTTAAATTCCAAGCTTGGCTGTCAATACTCTTATCCTGGTTTTATACACAGAAAAAAATTATATTCTCTTCATGTTTCTACCTTCGCTCTTTCGGCATTATTTTTTTAAAAATAGATGTTTTAACTAGTTTAAAATATTAAAAATTTATTTGCTAACCTGTAAACAATTTCTGGGATTATTTTCGTTTTGTTTTTATTTCTCATAATGCTATAATATAACGGCGAATAACTTGCTGTTTTTGAGCCACCATCTTTTTTTCTACCGGTAGGATACGAGCTACATAATATCCAATCCGAGCTAAAATAATATAATAAATGTTATATTCACTAAGATTTAATAGTTTTGTTTGTGGAAACACCACGTAAATTTATTACTGCAGTAATAAATTTACGTGGTGTTTCCACAAACAAAACTATTATATTTTATCGCCATGCAAACATACAAAGAACTTATCACTAAGATTTGTTTTAATTTAGTGTGGTGGCAAGAACATCAGGCTGGTTCTCATGAACAACCTTTTGCCTTCTGGATATAAAATACATTTCAAATACGATTTAAAGGTATTTAACTCGATGGACATCGGCAGCAACATTTTAGTTGATCTAGTTAGAAGAACTCTCAAAATATAAGCAGTGGTGTAGAACTTAAACGATAAGTTTGGGGGGGGCTCTTGGACTTGAAGGGGGGCGTGACAAGACGTGAGGGTGACAAGGCGTGGATGGTGCAACATGATAAACATGGAAAGTTCCAGTATTTATTTTTGGTTCTGGTAATTCTTCAATTCAATCTCATCTTTGGTGGTGGGGAAAAAAGTAACCCCACTGCATGGTAACTAAGTGCAAATAAGCGAAGTAACGTATCAAATCCGACCATTTACCAGATATCCTGTCTTATACATGTACTAGCGAGCTTACGATCTACAACGCGAACGTTTTTTTTTTAAACTAAGGCAAATACCATTAAAATATTTTTATCACAGTAAATAAAATGAAATTACACTGGAAAAAAATGTACAACATAACAGAGGCTAGCAATATATTAAGAAGATATTTTTTATCATAAGTTTTTACGACTTCTATGACGACGAATCTTTGCAAATATCACGTCGTCTCGGATGGTAGTTTTGGCGGGAAAATGTGCATTCGTAACAATAGTCTATAAAGCCTGGTTTCTATCATTTCGTATGGCTGTTAACGTGTCAGAACAGTGTCACAAATCTCGCAGAAATAAACTCTGACAACTCTAACTAGGCTTACACTAGAAAACTAGGCTTAGGTAAACACATCCTCGTCACAAATTCGCGTTGTAGATCTTAAGCTCCCTACTGTATAACTCTAAAGGCCCGTTTACACTTGCAATTTTTGCTGCGAATTCTACTACAATTTCCTCCTTCTAATGCATGTGAACAAGTAGATTAGTTACGAATGTTCTGAGTACATGTCCCCTCATCCATTGAACTATAAATAAACTGGAAGGCTAACTGCTATGATGAAGGCCTATGATTTGATGAAGCCAAAATAGTTTTTCTGAGTTATGAGCAGAAATACTTGACCCCAAACGTCGGGCTATATATCAAATTGAAGCTACTGAAAATTGCTATTCGGTGTGGAAATTTCAAGACTTCAGCGAAAAGAAAAATATTTAAAAAATACAAAAACAGCTGCAAAACGGCAAATTATCGGTAATTATGTTTGTAGTTTTTCAATATTTCCCTTTTAGCTAAAGTCTTGAAATTTCTACACCAAATAGCGTTTTTTCAATAGCTTCAATTTGATATATAGCCCAACGTTCAGTGTTGAGTATTTCTGCTCATAACTCAGAAAAACTAAAATGCACTGGTTTCAATCCCCCCCCCCCCTGAGTTAGCCTTCCAGTTTATTTATAGTTCAGTGCCCTCATCTGAACATTCATAACTTATCCACTCGTTCACATCCATCAGAAGAAGAAAATCTTAAGCAAATTGCAAGTGTAAACAAGCCTTAAGCTGGAGTTACACGAGCAACAAAGTTGCTGCAACTTGCAACAAAATCTGATTTCAACGCATGTTAATTGAAAATGTTTACGCATAAATTACAAATCACAAGGCAACATGTGTCGACATTTCTACTTAACATGCGTTGAAATCAGATTTTGTTGCAAGTTGCAGCAATTTTGTTGCTCGTGTAAGTTAGTTATACTGTACATGTGTTCTATTCTATGCTTCTGTAAACTAGAGCAATAATGACTAGGCATGTGAGTTGTTATCTAATGTTGTGAATTGGTAGTAGCAACTATGTAAACAAATAAACAATGTAGCCAAATTTGTCGATTATCCATGCTACGTATATACACACCTGACTGTATATATACATGCATAGCTAATGTACGTTTCTCCTACTAAGGACTGTACTAGTCTCCTAACCTAAAACCTTTTTCTTTTTCCTGCAGGGCTCAACCTACAAACGAAAGGCATCTAAAGCTGAAAGGGCGAAATCTTCACCGACGTTAAAAGACTTGGACTTCATGAACGATTACCCTGATGGGATTTCATTGGATTCTGATACGTACACTGCTTTAACAAAGACCATTCAGAGAGATTGTCGGGTATGTTATGTTGCTTTGTCTTTCGTCCGATCCAGAAGTGCCACACGTTCCTTCGGTGTTGAACGAGGTTATACGTACTGTACAACTTATTTGGCATGCGTTTCATCAATGTTGATGTACGATTTTCTAAAAAAAATATGTACGATAATTATAGCCAAAATGCAATTATAGATCTCTGGCACGAATCGAACCTGCGACTCTGCGATCCCGGTGCAGCACTCTAACCAACTGAGCTACAGAGGCCATTTGTCGAGCTTTAACCACAAGTTCAAGTCTAATAAGGGACTGGTCATAATTTATCAGGAGGGGGGTGGGAAGCTGTAATTCAAAATTTTAAGGAATGATATTTTGTGACCCTGCTTTGCCATAACCCGGAAAAATAATGCCCCCCCCCCCTCTCTTGCTCGTGTCAGTATAGCCCTTTCTTTCTTGCTCGTGTCAGTAAAAATGTACCTACCTACTACTAAACCCTGCATTCTATAAATTTTCTAATTACACTTTAAATTTTCTAATTTTCTAGTTGCGCTTTAAATCAAATACTAAAATTTATATTGTACCAATACATAGTCATATATAAAACTTTAGTTTTACATATTCAATTTTTTTCAATGCACCTGAAACAAATTGGAGAAGACATGTATAAAACAATTAATTGAACTAAAACAGCAGACCCCCTCCCCCGCCTTCATAAACTGTTTAATATTTTATGA